CTTGATGTACAACCCTCTATAAGTGGTTTTTTAACATCTTATTTAGTTTCATTTTTATGTTTATGTTAAGTAAAATCAGCGTAATTGACATTTATTTGAGAGATATTAGTTAGCTTTACACCGACACTCTATCGCGTGTGATACAGCAATCGTGGGCGATTAGCGGGCTTTACACAGATACTCAGTCGCGCGTGATACAGCAATCATGCGAGATTGAGCGCGCGTGTAAAGACGATGAAAGGAAAAAGAAAAGCCAGTTTCACGCGGTCTATCCCGCTCTATTAGCCTTTACACGAACAATCTTTCCGTTGTAACGAACATGAACAATCGTGCGCGACAGAATGTTAGCTTAAAAAATTTCAAACAGTTAATCGCGCACAATTAGGTAAGCGTGCAGACTGTCCCACGCGCAATCCTGTACGCTCCTGATCACCCGCGACAGAGTGATTGTGTAAAGGAGGAAAATGCGTTAGTTATGACAATGAGGGCAGAATTACTACATTTATGAATTAAAATTTTAAATTATTTAGTATTGCAATATATTATTTTTAACACATTAATTTATTAATAAAAAATATGTGCTAGATCATGGGAGATCAAATTTGGGATTCCCTGTACTACGAATATCAGAGCAATGGAATTAGAATCCCTTTTCAGAACACCCTGAGCAGATTCATATTAATTAATGGATATAAGCACAGGCCTACCGCTTAACTGAGTCGGCTCCTGAGGTAGCTGCGCGGTACGGGAGGAGTGACAGTTTACGTAACAGTCATGTCGCGCTGCACACGGGATCATTTCAACAAGATTTTTCTGACGATACTCAACAATAATAATAATAACGCACACACTCAACATAGCCCCGCACTAGGGAGACCTATGTCGCGGGTGCCATGGACACACACATAGACAACCACAAATTACACCCAAACTCACGAGAGAAATCAATGTAGACCATACAAATATTTCTCCCGGCCCCGGAATCGAACCTGGGACCTCTGCATGATAGTCCGGCATGGTAACCGTTCAGCCACGGAGGTAGTTATATAACAAGTTGATTGCAAAAAGTGCCAAATGGCTTAACTTTTCATTTCAATTTATCAATGGAATAGTTTCTTTTATTATCGTTTCACATACAGAACAAGTATAACACTAGGCGAGCTCGTGAAAATAAATATGTATGTCCAAAAGTAAACAACTATTATGGTAAAAGAACAAATATCCAACTCTTGCCAATTATATTTAAGAAATTAGATTTTTGAGAGGCAGAGAAATGTTAAGTAAATTCATGTTGAAAAAAAAATTATACTTCTTGAAAGCATGTAAATTTAGTAAATTCTACATTGGTTTGTTAAATGTACTCGTACTAGGTATACTATAGTTTTGTGCTTCTGAGTAACCTCGCAGCACACTTTTTTCGTAGTTTGTTGAGAAATTGTATTATGTTCTCTTGTATGCCTTGTTTGTATGAAATAAATAAATAAAACATAACAACAATTGACTAATTACGTAGGTACTCTTTTCAATGAGCTTGCTATTGAATATCTTTAGAAAAATCTTTTTTTAATTATCCCTTGTGCAGCGCGATATAACCGTTACGTAAACTATAACTCAGAAACCGCCTCGGTTACGCGGTAGGCCTATTTCAAGCTATATAGCCCAGGTAGTTTACAGAATTCGCCTTTTTATAAAACGACTAGGCTTAGAATGACTCTGATTACTAATAGCTAACTGGGTGAATTTTGAACCTGGCCATTTTATGGAAATTTAAAGAAATAATTGCTATAGACAACACAGACATTATTATCTTCTGTATTATTCTCACTAAGCGCCGTAACTGACATTTTTGTCGTAACTAAAATCTTTTATAAGCAAGCATTCTCCATTAACCATAATAAACGTCTACCTTTTTTATTTATTTTACAAAACCAGGCCGTAAATATTATGCATCGAGCTTAGAAAAAGACTATCGGCCACCTTCGGGTTTTTAGAGCTCCGTTTTCGTCTCACGACTGACAAATTAGGACGCGTTCCCATTATGACGTGACGACAGATTGTCGTGCAACTTAAAGTGTCTTGTATATTTAAATGGAGTTGTTCACATATAGAACGACAGGATTAATTGTCGTTCACGACTTTTCTAACGTTACCACGACAGACAAAGAGCTAGAACGATAGTCGTCTGACGATAAATAAAACGTCACGATAAATGTGTAACGACAGATAATCGCAGCTTCAAACGATTCTGTGACGTGCAAACGACAAGGCGGCTGTCGTGAATCGATAAACCGTCGTCTAGTCGGACAGTTAAACACGATTCACTCAACGATAAAATAAACGTCTACGACACAGACACGGCAGATAGCCGTGATATGGAAACAGGCTAGACACGACACTCGTTCAACGATAAATAAAACGTTACGACATAATGGGAACGTGCCTTTAGGGATGAAATGTGAAAGGCATGAGTGACAAAGACGACGCCCTACAAAGCCGACATCAGCCGATCGTTTTTTTTCTATACTAAACACAAACTAGTATGATGCCTGTGACACTTTATTTGAGATTTGTCATATGGTAAAGTGGATAAATTTTTTGTGTATTTGACTTTTGAAACTGATTACATTTGATATACAATAAATTTAACATTATATTTATTGAATATGTAGCATTCAATTTCAGCACCTTTCCTTTCAATTATTCAAAGGTTAGCTGGAGGAAATTCCTCTATGTCATAAGCTCGCCTTTTTGTACACTAACGTTTGAAAGTCTTTGTTAACATTTGTAATTTGTTTTGTTGCAAAGTGTTTACATACATACATACATGCTGTCGGTAAATCTCAAGATATGAAGAACAAAATCAAAAATACATACGTTGCCCTAGTTACGGCAGCCAAGAGAGGAACGAAATGTACTAGCGCCACCATAGCTCTAAAAGTTTTCCAGTCTTTATGAACAAATTCATAATCGAAATACACTTATGATTAAAAAATAAGGTACATCGTTAGGGAACTTGCGTTGTGGTAACAATGCAGTATGTTAATGTGTTGTATTCAGTCAAAAATTAAACGTATTAGTTATTTATCTACAATTCAAATAACAATAAACTAAATCTCACTATACGAATGTTTAAAATTAAAATTAATTTACATTACATGAATCGGTGATCGCATTCGTCCTTTTCCAAAAGATAAAAATATAAAAATTAAGAAAAACTAAACTGACGACTCTATTGTTCACGTGTAGCAAAGTGTCTTCTTTTTAAACTTAAGTTTAAAACCCGGGCACTGGCCGATCGCTGACTATTTATCAATTTGAGACGTAAAGTTAATAAGTTTCTATAGTTTCATCAGTATATTAGAAACTAGAACGTAATGCGTATATTACTGATAGGCGGTTGAAATAGGTGTAATGGCAGCATTTCCCTAAACGTAGCGTGGAGGGTGCAGGGGGCCATGGCCCTGGGCGGCACAGCAATGGGGGCGGCGGGGAGCCCTAAGTAGTATTTTTTTTTTTTGTTAAGAATCGATACTGCCTAAGCTCGAATCAAAAATTTTCCCGCACTAATACGGTTCATTTTGCTTGGGACTTTATTTTTTTACAAACGAAATTGCTCTATTTAATTCAATGGATATAAAAAAAATTCACTGGTATATGCGAAGTACGTATTGAATACAGCGGTTTTTTTGTATAATTTGAAGGCAAGTTTGTGTTTTTTTTTCTATCGTAAAAAATTTTTAGGAATTTTTTTTTTTTTTTTTTTTATTTATTAGGAATCGTGTTTTCACACCGTATAATAAGGAATGTATATCCTCAATTTTACTATATATTTTTTTACAAAGTGATTGATTCAACATTTTCACTGTTATGCGGTATCAATCAAAGCCATTTGAGGTAGTAAAAAAAAAGTTAAAATTAGAAAATAAATTTCACTATTTGAGATAAAACTAACACAAAAACTCATTGAGCCGAGCCTACCCGAACGTGCGTACTTTTATAATCGTGAAAATAGAGAGAGAAGACAACAACTTTAAGGTAGGCCCCGGTCGGCAGAAATCAACGCTAACTAACCCTAACTTGCACTGCCTGGACGAACTCTTTCACAAGAAAGCGCTACTGCTACTAAAAGCTGCAGGAGCCAGATTCATTCAGACTTACATTCAACTAGCATGAAAAAAATTGTAAACACTTATCTATTATTCCCAATCAGACGTGAACCTTGTATGATGATAGTAATGCATAGGGCACTACTGCTAATAAGACTAGAAGATTTTTAATAGCAGTAGAGCTGCTTGTGAAAGAGAACGTCCAGGGGAGTACTGCAACCGCACCTATTTCTGCCGCCAAGCAGTAATGTAAGCATGACTGTGTTTCGGTTTTAAAGGACAAGCGTCCAGTTACACGAGGAGAAAGTTTACCACGCCTTCATGTACATCAATGGCGAATCTGATTTCTATTTACTAGGCAACAACATTTAAATTCCTCTGAATAATACAACCACGCCGCGTAGGCCAAGTTCAAGCCAGACTCGCCTGCGTGCCCGGGACGCTCCTTTAAGTTAAAACGTAATAGCTAAACTAATAGAGCGTATTTTGCCATGACAGTTAGACCACGCGGTCGCTGCGCGGCGGCCGCGCGGGGTGAGCGCGATGCGCGAATGCGCCCTATGGGTGCTGGTGAAATTACAGGCACATGGGAATTGTCAACTTATGTCTCAGGGTGACCGGCGTATTGGCAATACTTCTAAGATCTTTGCGATTTAAAGCTTTGGCACTGCACTGTAACTGGTATGGACAGGTGTGTCGCTTACCACCAGACAGGCGACTTGTCGTCTCGTCATTTGGAATCATTAAAAAAACACGTGAACAATATAGTTGTTATTTAAAATTGTCAAGAGATCAATACATTTGTGATTTTTTAAATTGTCTAATAAAAAATCACAATTAAAAGTAATTGTGCATTTTTTATTACAGTTAAATATTTATTGTGATGTTAGAACGATGGAATGAAAGTATATTTACAATTATAGCCATTATTTATAAATAAGAATAAATAATTTTGTGCAAAATCTACAATTTCCGAAATAAATGCATTCTTTTCGAACCACAGAGTAGAAATAAATACGAAAGAATAGCGAAGCGTACAGTGAAAATTCTAAATAAATATTTATAAATTAAAGTTAAATCTAAAATATATTTTTTTATATTAATTAATAAATATAGTCTAATAGAATAAAGTGGCACTTTTTAATCGTTTTTAGAAGATTTGGACCGAACAAACTTTTGTATAAAGTAGGTGACTAATTACTTGAATCAATATAGTCATTATTAACCCATTATACGCACCACTGTCGGACACGGGTCTCCTCTAAAGAGGGATTAGGCCGTTTTCCGTCACAATATGTGTTGAAAACGTCAAAATGTCAAATGAGTTTTCATCATAATGTTTTCCGTTATCGGCTACCGATGAGTGCTATTACTAATAAGTATTCCGTAATGTATTATAACTAAGGCAACATACAATCGGAATCCTGTTTCGAATTTCCGTTTCGGAATTTCGTAGGCAACAAAACCATACAAATCACGGACTTATATCACACACATACAGCATTTGGAAGCACGGAAAAAGCCGTTCCAAATGCAAGTCTTCCGTAGATTTTGTAGGGCCGCAACATACAGTCGCAAATTCCATACGTATTTTCTCTGCAAAAACATCTGGACTCTATTATACGGAATCTCGGATCGATATTCCAAATCGGAAATTCGAAACGGAATTCCGACTTTATACGGCTGGCCTTAGAAATTAAATTCTTAGGTACAAGCCGCTACTGGGATTCGACCCATCTTCTCAATTGAGAAGAAATTGTTCTACAGTTACTTAAATATACTCTTATAACTTCATTGCACTAGCGTCTGTACCTTTGATTGCTAGATTTACTAGATTTATTGAACCTTGCTGGTTCAGATGTGACTCAAATTTGGCACAGTAGAGAGAGAAGCTCAACTGTGGCGCTTTTAATTAAATTAAAATTTTCAATTATATTATTAGGAGTAGACAAGTGAGATTACTGTGAGATTTTCTTCAACGAAAATAAGCTTAATCCAAGTTCTTATTATCTTATCAAAGTTATCGCTATTACGAGATAAAATGTATTCGTTCGGGTAGTCCTCTCGTTCTAGATGAGGAGTTGCGGCCTGCCGCTAGTGGGGGCGCGGACGAGTACAATAGCATACCCATACCTTCACCTACAGCGGAGAGGAGGAACACTCCGGGGGTTTAGTGCGGTCGGGCTGCTCCCTTTCAGGGTTCAGCCCAGTCCCACATAACCCCGGCTCTGCCCCCGCGGGGCCGGGGTATCTGTAAGCAGATTCCTCCGGATTAACAAAAAAAAGACCTCTCGTGAAGCACCTTTGAACGCAGGTAACCAGGAACAAGGAGTAGACAACCTCAAGGAAATTTGGATAGAATAAAGAAGTGCCATTAGACTCCAGTAAACTCAAGATTCGGTATTTATAACCAAAGAAAGTGGAGTTCTCGGCTTTCAGCGTATTTTCCAAACGATAATGATTGTTGTCCGTTCAGTCCAAAAAGCTTCCATATTGCACTTACTCAGAATCAAAGCTGATTCTACGTCTAACACCTTTATCACCCGCTTGATTAACATCCTGTTTCCTCTTCCTCAGCAGGGGCATTTCTTCGTCCTTGTTTCCCTTTGGAGTAACTTCGTTTTCAGCTTGCATTTTTATGAAGGAATCTTCTTCTTTCATGTCATCATCGTCAGCTATTGTTGTAGTTGTTTCTATACCTATCCAGTCGTTTGGTCCGTCGCTGCGGCACCATTGATAGGTGCCTTCTAGGGGTACCTGTAAAGAAGGTAAAGAAGTTATAATAAGGTTTAATAGTAAACCACCAATTATTTAAACAGTTATTTAACTGTTACCACAGATAATATACTACTATACTATAGTCTGTCTCTTTTGAAGACGAAGTAAAATGACAATTCATTGCGTAAAAGTGTTGCCAGCTATTCGCAAGAACAGCTAGTGATTGCAGTTGATAAATATTCTATCGACTATCAACTGAATAATGGTGACGCTTATGGAATAAATAACGGAACTTGTTTTATTTGAATCATCCTCGATCCATTATTCATCCAATTACTGAGAACAAGTTTATTTAAACTGTCAATTTTTGTATCTTCATACATACACTGTATTTAGAACTATGTTTATGAAAAATAAGAAGAGGAGACATGTTTTAATTTTTTTTCATTTTCATTCAATATAGTTAATAAAATTCAGCTATTTTTGTTAAAATGCATTTGAATAAAAATTGATCTCAAAACTAGTAAGGCAACTGTCAAAATAAAATTAAAGAAGGCAATAACGCAATTAATAATCATTACAATGTCGTAACATTTACAGTTCAATCATTTTTGGAAAAAAAATTCTTTTTTCACAATCTATCGATAAAACTATCGACATCAACTACAGAACTAGATAAAATTTTAAGAAAACTGGCATCGCTACACATGTAATTTTACTCCGTCTTTAAAAAAGACAGACTACAGTACAGATACCCAATCTCATACAAAGGAATTTCGCACTCGTAACTCCACTTATACGGACACTTATTTTGATTCTTAACGCTGTTCAATTGTAAGTATAGAAGGGTATCAATTAAACCCGCGATGCGATTGTAATAAATTTCGAGAAGACCAACAGATGGCAGCTGTTACATTTTTGTCAAGGTTATTGCTCTTGTTCAGGCATTGATTATAATATAAAATAACATATAACAAAGTCGCAAATTAGGATCGGTTTTAGGTAATCAGACGGGAATAACCAAATTTCGAGATTCTATATATGTTTTTTATTTTATCCTAGAGTCGCCTTCTACAGTTTTAAATATGTATTCAAGTTAATTTGTATGAATACCCTATACTGTTGCTGGTCAAGACTTCCTTCATTGTTTACAGTAAACCCATAATTGAACAGATATCAGACACTGTCGCAGATCTTCTGATCTCCAACGCCCTCGAAAGGCTATTTGCCACTGGTAATTACAATAATCCAGAACGAGAACTGAAGTATTTTAGTACTCAAACATACTCGGAAATGTTTGCATAACTTTAAAAAAAAGAATCCACAAAGTTTGTCTTTTGTGGACCGAGTGATTTCTTTGTGGCCAAGGCCCGTAAACAGTAAGTGTGAAAATCCAGTACTTATTCTCCGCTGCTCTAAACTTTCAAATCTATCTACTAACAATTGATTAACACTGTCTAAACTCGTTGATGTACTCGATGATGTAAATAGACAAAAGAAAAACTCATACACAAATACGCCCAGTATTCGTAATTGCGAAAATTAAAAGCTCGATTAATGTCACTGCCCTATTGAATACAGCGCCGTATTACATTACGGCTAGCCGCTATTATAATAAGACAGAGAATTGAATCCGAGGACAACAGAAAAAGAAATAAGCCACGATTTCTTTATTTTTTTCCTGAATTTTGAGTATACTTGATTCTGTTACCGATTTATTCCCATCTGATCCCCAAAACTGATCCACCGCCAATTTAAAATTGCAACTGATCCCCTCTATATTTTGCAACTCCCAACGGATCCCCTCATTGCATTTGTAAGATAAGTACAGTCAACAAAAAAGAAGTTTTGAAATCAAATATTCATTTACTGAGGAATTATGATCAAATGTTACAATTATCATAGACAATCATTTTTTTTGTGACAGGTCATTAATATTGGCATATTGCAAATCACTAGTAACATAAATCATAAATCTATATTTAAAATCTAGTTTAATGTTATGATTATCACATATAAATGATATACATTTTCTTATATACGTTACGATACGTTTTCTTGTTGACTGTACCACAGTATCTACCAAACATAAACTTGGAAGTATAAGGGTATCAGGTGGGAATATAATATTAGTATTTATTCTTGATACACTGCGTTGGGGATCAGATAGGAATAGAAAACAATTTAAAATAAAACGGATCCCTTAGGGGATTTTTTCCGACGTTGAAAAATACGAATTCAACTAGTTTTTTTCATTGACAATAAAACATAAGATACCGTTATTACATTACGGCTAGCCGCATTGCAAAACGGCGATGTTTTCTAATACGGCTACCTCAAGGGCGGCTGGATTACAATTCGCCTAAAATTCGTATAATAAATCCAAGGCTTCGCCGCCTCGGCTTGTAACTCATACTCGTCCGGCAATCCCTTGCTTCCCGACCTCTGTAATAATGTACTATCCATACGAATGAAGTTGCGAGTAAAGGGAAAACAAGGAAGCTAGCACCAAAAGAAACGTACCTCATTTTTAAAATCAAAGTTCCACTTCTTCATCTTCTCGATGCGTTCCGTGTCAAAGGCTTCTTGCAACTCATTGGCAAAATTGTCAACCCGCGCCTCATCTGTCGATTCGTCGGCGAAGAGGCGCCGGCGCACCGGGTTGTTCGACGACAGCCGATGCATGTCTTTGGTACGGAGAGGTAGTCTGTAGAAGAAAGAGAAAGAGAAATTTATTTATTCAGATTTTTACGAGCATTTATTTACTAGGTTTACCAACGTCTGTGTACCATGTTACTTATTACGAGAACGGATTGATAAATACGTGAATTTCTTAATTTAAAACTCTTAAGTAACCGTAGAGTATGCAAAAACACCCATAGTAAGCACTGGCGTTACTTTTTTAATATTAGCGTGAAATTAAAAGAAAAATAGAAATAAAATGTTAGGTGAGGTCGAAATTCTCGCATGTATTGTATGAAGATGGAGAAAATGAAAATTCTGGTATTCCGTTTCTCATCTGTAATCAGAACATCAAAACTTGTCGAATTATGATACGAACTATTGCCACACTCGTATTCACCACATTTGGCCAAAATTTCATTTTTTTAACCATTTTTATTCCGATTTGCATCTGATGAGAAGCTGAAACAGATGCCTATTTTTCAATTTGACAAAAAATATTTTTTTGATGGGTTGAAGAAGTTGGAATATCGCTGATCAAGGTGTATAGATTTAAAAGGAGATTACGTGAAAAATAAATAATAATTAAAAATATATATATTTGTTACCGCGCTCGTACAACTTTTTCATAAATTTATCGGCTTTAGTTACACGAGGCGAAACTTTTCGCGCCGCGCGGCGACTGCCCACAGTTGACACGCCTTCGTGTACATTAATGGCGAATCTGAATTCTATTTACTAGGCAACAATATTTAAATTCCGGGACGCTCATCTAAGTTAAAATGTAAAAGCTAAACAAACGAGCGTATTTTGCCATGACAGTTAGACGCGTGCGTCACAGCGGCGACGCGGACTCCGCTCTTCGATCGTGTGGCGGCCGCGCGGGGTGTGCGCGATGAAATTAGTGTCGAATAACTGCGCCCTTACAAGCAAAGTAATTGCTACAAATACTTATAAGTAAACACAACATGGACTAAAACATTACTATGTCTAACTAAAATTTTTTTTAAATACAATTTTAACAAATAACTATATATACTTACTATACTATAACTATATAATAACTTTTTAGTCGTAGCGCCATCTATGAGAAATCTATGACAGATTTATCACCCAGTTAGTACCTTTACAGCTACCAGTCCTGGCGAGAGATGTCGCTATTCACTGTATTAATTAAATTTTTATTGAATTGATATTCAATTATTTTTTGTGAAATTACTCCACTAGTTTGTTATAATTATTAATACAAAGATCGAACACTCAGAAAAAACACTCAGAAAAAATTCATTCGATCCGTTCGGATTCGAACCGACGTCATCTTGCATACCGTGCCAGACGCTATACCAACTAAGCCACGGCACGAACCAACGGACCTCACGAATTTTTCTATGTGCTTGCGTCGTGTCTTTGTACTTGGTCTTTCAACGACTTTTTAGTCGTAGCGCCATCTATGACAAATCTATTACAGATTTATCACCCAGTTAGTACCTTTACAGCTACCAGTCCTGGCGAGAGATGTCGCTACACGAGGCGAAACTATTCTATATTAAATAACTATATAATTGAAAATGGATGCGTGACACTACTTTTGCGAGATCAATTACATAATAAAAGATTTTTTTACCCAAAAAAGTGATCTGAAGCGATATGAATTCATTGAGTAGCCGTAGAGCTCCTTGTGCAAGAGATCGTCTAGGGAATGACTGTCACTGTACATATTTCTAATGTAATGTGAGTATTACGGCGTTCTGGTTTTGAAGGGTGAGGGTGCTGATTAGACATACATGGAACTTGTTAAGTAACTTATCAGGGTGAGGGACGTAGTGACAGTGTCCCTCAGATCTTTGCGATTTAACGCTTTGGGTGACATTACAACTGCTATGGACAGGCGTGTCTAGGTATCATAAAAAAAAGATCTACTAATGTCAGTTGCACACGTGGACTTCGCGCATGCAGTCCATCTAGTAGCAGCGTAATACACGTTGTTTAATTTTCTAAGTTATTCCAATGGAAACGTTTCATTATATTTCAATCAAAGTACCTCCGGTCAGTATCCGTCCGCGCCTTCGTGATTCGCGCTGTGGTTTACAGAACCGTTTGAAAACTAGAGTTGGGTAGTTTCCATTTAATTACAGTAGCATTTTTTACATTTATTTTCTAATTCCAGGTTTTTAGTATCCTTCTTCACAGCCATCCATACAGACTAGTGTAAAAATATGCTGTAATTTCTTATAAGTATTACAATTTAAGCATTTAATTATCAAAATCAAAGAAAATTTAAGGAAACAAAGAACATATTGAGATGGTAACGTGTATTATTTATCACTAGAGTTTCTTGCTCGTTCTTCTCAGGGAGGTTAGCGTAGTGAACGAGCAGTAGCTTAAATGTGACGTTTTCAAGTGTAAATTTATTTTACCTATGGAATAAATGATCTTTGACTTTGACTTTGATTAAAACAGAGAATTGATTCCGAGGACAACAGAATGTGGTCACAGTTTTTTTTTTTTTTCAATTTTTCCTGAACTTTGAGAATACTTGATTCTGTAACCTTGTAAATTGGGATTTACATGCGTAATTGTTACGATGAAGTGAGGCGCAAAATACACACATCAACACTGTGTTCATGGATTGTGGAGAAACTACAAAAACGTTCTTGAAACGTTCATATATTAAAACGCGCAGTATTTTATAATCTGACTGAAAATTTAATAAAAAAATCTTTTTATATTTATTTTTAATGACTTTTATGGTAAAAATAGAAAAAGTTAATTTTGTACTAAAATAAGCACTTCTGTTTTTGGTTATTAAAGAGAAGAACAAAATTAAATGAAACAATGTGTTGCAAAATAAATATTTAGTAAAAGCACCTCGGATGTTTATAACGCATCTGCAACGATTGTGCATACTCAAAATGAGATTATCAATATCTCCTTGTGGGATAAGGCCCCAGGTTCGACGAAGATGCATAAAAAGTTGATTTTCTGTCACCAGATTTTCGGAAAAATTTCGTAAAGCCCTTCGTTGAAGCACGTCACACGCGTGCTCAATCGGATTTAAATCCGGGATTGGGCAGGCCAGTCCATTGTCTTACTATTCGAGCTGCGTGAAGACGAACATTATCATGCATAAGCATAAAGTCCTGACCCATTTGCAACCGATGTGGTTGGACTACTCCAGCACCTCATTACGATATTTGGCGGCAGTTAAAATGCCCTGCACGCAAATGAGGTCAGTTCTGCCTCCTAGGCGTATTCCTGCCCATACCATAATTGTTCCACCTTGATAGGGATGGATTTCCTGGGGTTTTTGCAGGCGACTCGTACGTCCAGGTGTTCGCCAAACGCGTATTCTTCGTGTATCTGGATGGAAGCCGAACCGGGATTCATCCGAGAATAACACCCTAGACCATTGTCGATTGTTCCAAGCCAAATGTTCACTTGCCCACTGTAATCTTCGACCGCGATTGCCTCGTCGTAGTGCTGGAACCCGAAATGGTCTACAAGCATGTAGGTTGACTTCGTGCAGTCTCCTCCTCACAGTTTGGTCGCTCACTAGGACCTGGTGCTCCGATTAAGGCTTTAAAACCAATTGCCGTAACGTTAGGTTGTCTCTTTGCTGTAACTTGTAGAAATCGGTCGTGTCTTGCGGTAGTCACCCGACTATTCCCTGTGAGCCGCTCAATCACATCGTCAGTGTCTCGGTAGCTAGACCATAATCTTGATATGATGCTTTGACTGGTGCCAATGACATCAGCAACATTGCACTGGATCGCGCCGACTTCTAGCATGCCTACGGCTCTCAACATCTCTTCTTTAGTTAAATGTCAGCGTTCCATAGTATAGAAACAACCACCAGTAATAATGCAGTTAATAAAATTGTAAAAAACAATTCAGCTCAAAAACAATTTAATCTATGAGACACACATAGAAAAACAAACTATCGTAACAATGTTAACAAAATACTATCGCATCAGTCGTTCTTTTGTTTTAAATTTGAATTTAGAATACAGAAAAAATGTGCCAGGAACAAATAGACGTGTAATCTATTTGATATGATCAGTACTTTTAGAGTTATTCTAATAAACGTGAAATATCCCTAGACAGTGTGGATATGTTAGAAGCTTTGCCATACTTCGACCACACGAAAAATCAGTTTTTCGTCGTTTCAAAATACGAATTCAACTTTTTTTATTGATAATGAAAACAGAAGATACCGGTATTGAACTATGGGCACACTCTATAAAAAATAATATCAGTCCAGAGTAGTAAAAAAACCAACCTCAAAATCATTCGTCCCCAGTTTGCCAACTTTAGAGGTGAAATTCTTCTTCAAATTAAAATGGTATTAGTCATTAAAGAATCATCAAAAATGGTTCACAGAGTTATCGCGTAACAAACATACAAAAAATAAACATGCAGGCGAATTGAGAACCTCCTCCTTTTTTGAGGATAATTAAAAAACAGTCACACTTTTTTTTGACACTATTCCGTAAAATTGTCATTTTTTACCACGTTCGCTTCTCTAACGAGAAATCAGTTTCACTCGATTGTTATTAGAGATATTTCAAAAAAAATTATTTCCCGTGTTCCGTAATTTAACTGCTTCCGTGGCCTAACGGTTACCATGCTGCTAGGCTGCCACGCAGAAGTCCCAGATTCGATTTCCGGGCCGGGAGAAATATTTGTACGGCCTACATTTATTTCTCTCGTGAGTTTGGGTGTAACTTGTGATTGTCTATGTGTATGTCCATGGCACCGACGATACAGGGTTTCCCTAGTCCGGGCTATGTTCAGTGTGTGCGTTATTATTATTATTATGTAATAAATACGTTAGGGAACTATGAGCTCATTTTACATAAGAGTGTATACTTAATTTCTAAAAGGCATTTAATATCGTCCAATGTATTTCTTTGCATCTATCTACTTATACAACTACGATACCACATCGCCTTAAGAGTTTATCAGTGTTTTTCCGTAATGAAAGAAATACATTGTCAATACACAAAACAAAAATAAATACTAGGT